TGGAGGTCGCGCGAAGGAGGCTGCGCCGGATGGTGGCGGGGCCGCCCCGCTCCGAGGGGCTTAGCATCGCCCTGCGAGGAGCCCTCCTAACGGCAGTGCCGAGCCGGGGCGGGAGGCGGGCAGCGTGGGCTCCGGGCACAGGGAGGGGCGCCCGCCCGCCCCGGGCAGCCCGGGCCCGAGGTGACAGGCGCCTGTTGCAGGGGGCGGTGGAGCCCATGCAGATCGACGTGGACCCGCAGGAGGACCCGCAGAACGCGCCCGATGTCAACTACGTGGTGGAGAACCCCACCCTGGTAGGAGCCCCGGGGCGCAGCGCGGCTGGGGTCCAGGCCGGGCACACGGCACCCTCCAGCCCAACCTCCCGGGCTCCTGCGCGGCCCTGACGCAGCCCCCTCCGCAGGACCTGGAGCAGTACGCCGCCAGCTACAGCGGCCTGATGCGCATCGAGCGGCTGCAGTTCATCGCTGACCACTGCCCCCCGCTGCGGGTGGAGGCCCTGAAGATGGCCCTGTCCTTCGTGCAGAGGACCTTCAACGTGGATGTGTACGAGGAGATCCACCGGAAGCTCTCGGAGGCCACCAGGTGAGGCCGGGGCCTCGGAGGAGGTGCCCGCCTGGCTGATCGGGGGGCACTCCTGTGCCTGCAAGGCCGGCCCCACCCCCACGCGGTCACTGCGGCGGAGCCCGGCCGCCTTGCTGAAGAGCCGGGAGGGGCGGCGGGGCATCCTGGCACGGCTGCTCTGGCTCCGCGGCCACAGCACTCGTCCCGCGGGCCTCCCCCCGCACGGTCCGTGCCCCCTGCCCACTGGGTGCGCCCACCAGGGGCCCTCCCGCTGGCACATCAGCCCTGACGGCCGGTCCTCCCGCAGGACCTGCAGAGCGCGCCGGACGCCATCTCTGAGAGCGGGGTGGAGCCCCCACCTCTGGACACGGCCTGGGTGGAGGCCACGCGGAAGAAGGCCCTGCTGAAGCTTGAGAAGCTGGACACGGACCTCAAGAACTACAAGGGGAACTCTATCAAGGGAGAGCATCAGGTGCCCGGGGGCGGGGGCTGGCAGGGAGGCCGGGGCCACGCCGGGCGCCAGGCGCCATGCACTCACCGCCCGGCCCGCAGGCGCGGGCCACGACGACCTGGGCGAACCACTACCTGGACTGCGGGGACCTCAGCAACGCCCTCAAGTGTTACTCCCGGGCCCGGGACTACTGCACGAGCGCCAAGCACGTCATCAACATGTGCCTCAACGTCATCAAGGTGGGCGCGGGCGCGGGCGCGGGCGCGGGCCCAGGCGGGCGGCCATGCCCTGGCCGGGTGCCCCAGGCTGAGTCTGTCCCCGCCCGCCCGCCCTCCAGGTCAGCGTCTACTTGCAGAACTGGTCTCACGTGCTGAGCTACGTCAGCAAGGCCGAGTCCACTCCCGAGATCGCAGAGGTAACCAGGCCTTGCCCCTCCACCACCGCCGCCCCCTGGGCCTGGTCCTCCCGTCGGCCTCGGCCATCTTCCGGCCGGGCCGGGGGTCAGCCTGGCAGTCGGGGAGGGTGTGGAGGCACAAGTGGCTCATGTGTGTCGCCTTCCCCTGCAGCAGCGAGGGGAGCGGGACAGCCAGACCCAGGCCATCCTCACCAAGCTGAAGTGCGCTGCAGGTGAGGGCCGGGCGGGGCAGGGGGGCCCCCCCGCGGACCCCGGGCGCCCCCACGGAGGTGGCCTGTGTGCTTGTGCTGCTGTCCTCACAGTTGGGCAGACCCTTGTGCCCCACGCATAGGTGGCCGCTGCCCGGCTCAGGTCCCAGTGCAGACATCGCCTCTGACGGTCACGGTCAGAGCCAGTCCCCACCTGAGTCCCCTGCAGCCGTGACCAGCTGTGCTGGCTCCCGGGCGCCCGGCCCAGGAGGGGACCACCTGGTGCCACCGCCGTCACTCACCTCCCGGCAGAGCTTGTCCCTGGGGCGGAGGCAGCCCTGGAGCCGCGGGTCTCACGCTCCCTCCCTCCCTCCCTCCCGCCAGGGCTGGCGGAGCTGGCTGCGCGCAAGTACAAGCAGGCGGCCAAGTGCTTCCTGCTGGCCTCCTTCGACCACTGCGACTTCCCCGAGGTGAGGGGCACATTGGCAGGAGGGCTCCTGGGTGGGCTCTTGGTGGGGGGTCTCTCCCAGCAGCACTCAGAGTGGGTGTGGGGGGCCAGCCCTGGCTCTGGGCTTTCCTGCCTTTTGTCCCGACGGGCAGTGACCCCTGTCCCTGCCCCTCAGCTGCTGTCCCCCAGCAACGTGGCCGTGTACGGCGGCCTTTGCGCCTTGGCCACCTTCGACCGGCAGGAGCTGCAGCGCAACGTCATCTCCAGCAGGTGGGGGTGCAGGGCCCCGTGTCCCCGGCCACCGTCCTCTGGGGGTGCAGGGCCCCGTGTCCCGGGCCACCATCCTCTGGGGGTGCAGGGTAGACGGCGGGGGGAGGGGGAGACAGGGCGGCTCTGAGGAGGTGGACCCCGCAGCTCTTTCAAGCTGTTCCTGGAGCTGGAGCCCCAGGTCCGGGACATCATCTTCAAGTTCTACGAGTCCAAGTACGCCTCGTGCCTGAAGATGCTGGACGAGATGAAGGTGAGGGCTGCCGGCTGGAGGCGGGGAGGGCGGGGGTGGGGGCTGCAGCTCCTGACCCTCTTCCTCGTCAGGACAACCTGCTCTTGTTACATGTACCTGGCCCCCCACGTCAGGACCCTGTACACCCAGATCCGCAACCGCGCCCTCATCCAGGTAGGTGGGGGGGGGGGGTGCAGGCCCAGGTGGGGCCATGGGTGCACCTGGAGGCCGGGCAGCTGATGCCCGCCTGCCCTGCAGTATTTCAGCCCCTACGTGTCGGCCGACATGCGCAGGATGGCCACTGCCTTCAACACCACGGTGGCCGCGCTGGAGGACGAGCTGACACAGCTCATCCTGGAGGGGCTCATCAACGCCCGCATCGACTCCCACAGCAAGGTGGGTCCCCCACGCGAGGCGGCCCCCGCGAGGTGGCTCCCCATGGCAAGGCGGGGGATCTGGTCCCACTGACCTGCCGCCGACCCTGCAGATCCTATATGCGCGCGACGTGGACCAGCGCAGCACCACCTTCGAGAAGTCCCTGCTCATGGGCAAGGAGTTCCAGCGCCGTGCCAAAGCCATGATCCTGCGGGCAGCCGTGCTGCGCAACCAGATCCACGTCAAGGTGAGGGTGGGCGGCACGGGGGGCGGGGGCGGCACAGCCGGGCACACACACCTGGGCCAACGGCCTTGTTTCCACTGCAGTCCCCTCCCCGCGAAGGGAGCCAGGGGGAGCTGACGCCCGCCAACAGCCAGTCCCGGATGAGCACCAACATGTGAGGGTGCCCGCCGGGCCCTCCAGGAGGATCTGCACACCCTGCCCCCCTCCCAGCACTTCTGGAGGAGCCGCTGGGTTCCCGGCCCCCTGCCTGGACACCTGTGTGACCCCATCTCTGCTTGCCCCACGGAGGAGGGGTGTCTGGAAGGTGAGGCCTCAGGGCCTTCTGCTCTCACATGTGGGGTTGCAGATAGTTGTGAACCTTAGTCCATTAAAAGCAGCCTCCCCTGAACTGTTCTTTCTGTGTCTGGCTCTTGGGGTTGGGCTGTGGGGGGGGGCGGGGAGCACAGGCCTTGTCCCTGGGCCCCTTGCATCCAGGCAGCAAAGGCCCAGCCTGTGCAAGGCTGAGCGCACCCTCCGGCCCTGGTCCAGGGCGGCTTCTTGACTGACCTGGGTCCAGGCAGAGGAGCTTCCTCCCTCCCAGCAGGCTGTGGCAGAGGCACGCTGGCCGGAGCGGCACTGGCGCACTCTGCAACGCACGTCTCTGAGGGTTTATTGTTCACGTTAGGGCACACCGGCGCGAAGATCAGAGCAGGTCCAGCCTGGGAACACTCGCCGGGGCCGCGCTCAGTCCGGTGTGGCCGAGGGTGTGGAGGAGCAGGAGGTTCCCTGAGTGAAGGCGTCTCCTTAGGGGTGGGGGGCTTCACAGTCCTGAGCCCGGAGGGGCGGGCGGCGGCCTTCAGGCCAGGGCACTGCCCAGGACCTCGGGGAAGCCGCCTGGGTCCCCGGGTCCCGCCTGCGGGGGCTCCTGCAGCTGGGGCTGGGCCCCCTTCCAGGCCAGCGATTTCTCCAGTTTGGTTTTAAAAAGCAATCCGTGACCTGGCAGAGGGGGTGGGGGAGGAAATGGGGCTCAGGTCACAGGTCCCACTGGCCGAGGGGTCGGGGGAGGGAGTAAGGGCTCGGTGGCAAGTGCCTCACCTGGGCAGTCCGCAGTCTCTTTGAAAGCTCGCTTCTTGCAGCAGCCCCGGCACAGGTTAAACACACACCTGTTGCCCTGGACACAGAAAAGCTACTGAGCTGTCTAGTGGGCTGTGCTGAGGCCAGGGCCTCCCAGGCCCCCGGCTGTACTCCCTGCAGACCAAGGGTTAGCAGGGACCACCCTGCCCACGCCCCTGGGGCTGAGCCCCGCTGGGCAGCACTGCAGAAGGGCAGCTCACCTTGGGGTTCCCACACTGGTCGCACTTTGCGTATTTTGCTGGGAAAAGAACACAAGGGGGTCCCGGTGAGCCAGGTGAGCAGCCCCCCACGGCCCCACGCAAAGCCTGCGGGCCCCCGTTTGCTGTGGCCGCCAACATGCAGACTTGGTGCCCAGAACCCCAGGCCCTCGTCCTTCCCCCAAGGGCTCAGACTGCGGCCATGGCTGGGTCTCCCAGTCCCTCAGGAAGGCGGTCCCAAGCCCACAGCCTCTCCGGGTGCCTCAGGGCGGCAGCTGCCACAGCTTACGCTTGAGCGAGGGGTCGAAGGTCTTGTGGGGGTTCCTCAGCTGCTTCTTCTGCTTGTTCTTGGACAGGACGTCTGCGCCGCCCTCCTCCTCCTCCAGGGCCCGCTTACTGCGGGCGCCTGTGTTCTCCTTGCTCCCCTCCTTGGGCCTGGACGGGCAGGGCAGGGGCAGAGCTGAGAGGCCCCACGTCCGGGCTCTCAGGCTGCCGCTGGGCCAGCGTGGAGCCACGGGCACCGGGACTCTGGGGTCTGGCCTCTGAGCCTAGGCCGGGCTGTGGCCCCGGATGGGGTCAGAGGGAAAAGATGTAAAACCTCAGCGTCCACGAGTAGGGGGGCCGCTGGGCACCCGGGAGGATGGGGCAGAGCGGGCTGTGCCCTCCGGGCCCTCCTGTGCCTGCCCGACCCGAGCCCGCGCCCGCACGCTCACCCCGGCCGGAAGTAGGGCTGGCAGATCCAGTGGAAGAAAGGCAGGCCGCCCGAGGGCTCCTCCCCCTCCTGCCGCGACATGTCCTCCTGCAAAAGGCCAGGGTCCCCGTCACCAGCCAGTCCCGGAGGCACCGGGCGGCTCCCAGCCCTGCACGTGCCTGACACCGCAGCTTCAGCTCCTGGCTCACGGCGGCCACGCCCTCCAGGGTCTTCGCCTTGGCGAGCTCCTCGCGAAGCTGCTGGTGCACCTGCAGCCTGAGACAGACGCCATGAGCGGGCCTGCCCCCCGACCGAGCCCCGGGCCTCGGGGAGCTGCCCTCTCCCACCCAGGCTGCCTCCCCGTCACCCAGCCCCTCAAGGCCTGATTTGGGGGCCAACCACCGACACGTTTCTGGAGACCTCGCCTGGAAACCCCCAGTGCCCAGGTGGGGCTCAGGCGGACGGGTCTGCCTCGGGGGCACTCACGTGTGGTGCCACAGCTTGAAGAGGTGGGCCCGGACGCAGGACAGCGGGCAGGGGTGCTGGCGCACCAGGTCCAGGTACTCCTCAGCCAGCTCCCACACCGCGGGGCTGCGGCCCTCGAACAGCGCGGGGTTGTGCAGGTTGCCCTCTGCGGGAGGGGGAGGGGCTGAGCTCAGGGTGCTCATGACCTCAGAGGGACCCCCACCCCTGCCCCATCACACCAAGGGCAAGGCTGCTGCCAGCTCAGGGCATGAGGACAGCGCGAGGCCCGAGGCTGTTCAGCTGGGCCGGTGGCGTCACAATGTGGACGCCGTGGGCGGTGGTGCGGCCTCACCTGCACTCATGACCCCCTGCACCCCCGTATCCCGCAGGCAGCGCTCCACGTCCTGCAGGCACTGGATGTTCCCGTTGGCAAACACAGGGATGGCCACGGCCTTCCTGCTGGGGAGCAGGGGGGCACTCAGCCGAGGAGACGGGGGGGCCACCCTCGGGGCAGCACCCAGCCCCGATGTATCCCGGTCGCCTAGAGGGCCGTGTCTCGGGCGGGGAGGCCCCACCCCACTCACCGCACGGCCCTGATGTGCTCCCAGGACGCGGCGCCGGACAGAGGCCCCTTCTGCTCCTTGGTGCGGCCGTGCACCGTCAGCAGCTAGGACACAGCAGGGCTGGCTCAGCGCCACGCTGCGTGGCTCTCAGTCCCTGCCCCCCGACTCCGCCTGGGCTGCCCTCGGGGCCAGCTGACGCCCTGCGGGGCGACCAGGGTGCAGGGGAGGAGCCTGGTCCCCGTCAAGGTCACTGTGACTCCTGTCGCCCCCAGAGGGTGAGCTCTCCTGGGACACGCCTGGGAGCAGGACCCCCGGCCCCTCACCTGGCAGCCGGCCTTCTCCAGCATCTGGGCGTACCTCACGGTCTTGTCAATCTCTGGGAAGACCCGGATCTTGCACGTGACCGGGACAGAGAGCTGCTCGTGGGCCCGCTGAACTGTGGAAGGAGGTGGCTTCTGAGAAGCGGGTGCTCACCCTTGGGAGGTGGTGGGGACCCACAGCTAAGCCCCAAAGCAGCACAGGCCCAGTGCAGACGGCTGCCACTTGACGCAGCCGAGAGACCCGCCTCCGCACCCCCAGGGCAGTGGAGGCGCCAGGACTGGGCGAGGACCCTGCCCCCTGCATGCGACAGGCCACAGCCAGGCGAGCGCTGTGGCCACGAGGTCTCTGCTGGCCACTGTCCTCTCCTCCGCCCAACCACACGCAGCCCGTCACCCACACGCGCCCACTCACTCATTCTCTGGAGCAGGTCCCACTCCTCCTGCAGGAAGGCGCCGTAGTGACCTGCAGTGACAAAGGTGGCCGTCGTCCCCCTCCTCCCGTGTCCACACCGGCTGAGAGCCGACCTGCCAGGCTGGCCCCGCTCCCTGCACGGGCCGCGCACCATCTTCTGAGCCCGCGGGCCGGGGGCTCCCCGAGGGGGTGTCTCCAGGGAGACGGCCACTGAGCAGTTTCTCAGCGTCAGACTTGGTGGCTCTGTTTGCCCAGCTGCCCAGGCTCAAGGGCGCCGAACGGCAGGCCCGCCCCACAGTCTCTGACCACCAGCCACTCCCCAGGCCCCACCCAAGGGGAACAGCCACTGGGGCTGCGGCAGCAAAACACATTCATCCAGGGGGAGCCCGTCCACTTCCCAGGCACTTGGGCGAGTGAGGAGCCGCTGAGAGCCCGCAGGCCTGCCCCACCTGGAGCCTCGCCGGGCCCCCGAGACTCACCCCGCTTGGCTATCATCTGGGGGCAGCCCAGGTTCAGGTCGATGGCATCACAGTAGTCCTGCGCCAGGAGCGCCGCCTGGACAAACACCTCCGGGTCGTTGGCACAGAACTGGGGGAGACGGGACCGTCACCAGGAACCGGAGCCATGCCCTGGCTCTTGGCGGCTCACGGGGTTCACGTGGGGTCTCGGTGGGGGCGTGTCCCACGGCTGACGACAGGCCGGCCTCCTGTCCTAAATGCTTA